CAATACCCAGACTAAGTAGCCAACATTGTCCAGTTCCTAAAAAGAACGGTAAGGTCCAAATATGTATCGACTTTCGTGACCTTAACACAGCTTGTCCAAAAGACGAGTTTACACTTTCCATCACCGATGTCATGATTAACAATACCTACGGATATGAAAGGATGTCTTTCATGGATGGATTCTCCGGGTATAATCAAATCAAGATGTATCCTGAAGACGTAAAGCATAATGCGTTCAGAACTCCACTGGGGGTGTATTGCTACACAGTGATGCCCTTCGGCCCGAAAAACGCAGGTGCAACTTATCAACGTGCAATGAACACCATCTTCCATGAACATCTGCGTAAGAAGATAGAATATTACGTTAACGATATAGCAGTAAACAGCCAACATAAAGGTGATCATCTTACAGACTTGAAGACAATATTCAATATCATGCGAGCACATCAGTTGAAGATGAACACGACAAAATCGTTCCTTGGGGTATCAAGCGGAAAATTCCTGGAATTTATCGTCACATCCAAGGGAATTTCTCTCGATCCAGCGAAAGTGCGTGCCATCCAAGATATGATACCTCCGAAGAATCTCAAAGAACTTAGAGGTTTGTAAGGCAGACTGATCTACATTCGGAGATTCATATCTAATCTTTCGGGGCGCTGTCAACCTTTTTCTAAGCTTATGAAGAAATGAGTGTCCTTTGTTTGGGATGGAGAATGTCAAAAAGCATTCGAGGAGATTAAGAGATATCTCACCCAACCGCCAGTTCTCGTGATCCTAATATCGGGAAAACCATTTCATGTTGTATGTGAGAGCCATGGACCATTCTCTTGGAGCTTTATTAGCCCAGAACAACGATCAAGGTCAAGAGCAAGCTATCTACTACTTAAGCATGACCATGATGGGAGCCGAGCATCGGTATAACCCGATCGAAAAAGAATGTCTCACTTTAGTATTCGCAGTCCAGAAGATGCGACATTACTTGGTAGGACAAACAATTCATGTCATTTCTAAGGTAAATCCCTTGAGAGTTCTGATGACAAAACCATCATCTCTAAATTACCGACTCGCAAAGTGGGTCATCCTATTGTCATAATATGACATGTAATTTATGCTCCAAAAAGCAGTCAAGGGTCAAGCGTTGGCAGACTTCCTAGCCGATCACCCGGTGCCAGGAATGTCTAAGTTGTATGAAGAATTACCCGACGAAGTTGCTGAAGCTTACGTCACTCAAGAAGCTATGCAAGTATGGAGATTATTTTTTGACGGTGCATCCAGAGCAAACCCTTATGAAGCAATTACCGCGGGAGTGGGAGTAGTATTCATATCTCCAAACGGTTATATGATCCCAAAGGGATTTTCCATGATCGAGCCATGCACCAACAATGTAGCCGAGTATAATGCTCTGCTATTAGGAATGCAATTTGCCGAAGAGCTTAATATTCGACACCTCGAGGCTTACAGTGACTCTCAACTCATCGTAAATCAAGTCCGAGGGGAATATGCAGTGCGTCATAAGGATCTGATCCCGTACTACTTCGCAGTGCTAAAGCAAGCTAAGAAGTTCAAAGGTTTCTTTATTGAATAGGATCTGATCCCGTACTACTTCGCAGTGCTAAAGCAAGCTAAGAAGTTCAAAGGTTTCTTTATTGAATATATTCCACGAGCTCTACTACTTCGCAGTGCTAAAGCAAGCTAAGAAGTTCAAAGGTTTCTTTATTGAATATATTCCACGAGCTCAGAATGCTTATGCAAACGCTTTAGCCTCGTTGGCAACTTCACTAGCATTGCCATCAGGGGAAGTCTGCATAACCTCTATGGAGCTTGAATCTAGGGATTGGCGATTCCCGTATATTGACTACGTCCTATACGGAATTTTGCCTGATGATCCTAAGGAAGCTGCTGCTATCGAACGAAAGGCTCTTCGATTCTATTACGACATGATTTCCCAAATATTATATCGTAAATCACATGATGGAGTTTACACATTCAATATCGTAGCAGGTTATTATTAATAACACCAGAATCCATGTCTTACACGCATGGAGGACTTTATCTCGATCACTAAATATAGATAAGTCTACGCCTAATACGCGTCGCCAGTTAGTTTTTTTCGTAAAAATGACCAAGTCTATGTATTCAAAATCATAGCATCAAGTCTAAAAGGGTTCATTCTCTTAGCACAATGTTACATGTGGAACGGACTTAGACAATCCATACGCTAGCCCGACTCAAACGGTAGTCGGTAAAAGCTTATCAAATCCGTTGATGGCTGAGGGTTTGCCAAAAAAATGCGCTGAACCGGCTTAAAATGAGCCAAAAAAGGCAGTAAATCGGTTCAAAAAATCCTCCGACTCTTTCGAACATGTGGGAGAAGAGTGAGTAAGTGACGGGTTGAATCGTCGCTCGACTTGAAGTCGTTTCGATGCTCGGTTCGACTTCAATTTGAGTTTTGGTTTGAACTGGGTCTGGTCCGGTTCGGTTCGGTTCGGCCCAAAACCGGTTCACCCTATATAAAAGGGTTTCTTTTTCTTTTCTTTTTCTTTACCCTAGGGCCGGCCCCCCCCCTTTGCCTCCTTTTTGAATTTCTCTTCCCTCGAGCCTCCGTTCTCCCTCAAAACTCGATCTTCGTCTTAGATTCATCCTTCCTTTTGATCCTTGACTGAAAAATCCTTCGAAACTGCCATTTTTGATAATTCACATGCTAGCCCGACTCAAACGGTAGTCGGTAAAAGCTTATCAAATCCGTTGATGGCTGAGGGTTTGCCAAAAATCCTATGCATGTTTGAAGACCCATTAGCTTAATGGATGTGAGCCGAGACTTGAAATAGATGAGCTAAAGACAAGTCTCAAAGACTTAGTTAAAAATGCATAAAAAGCCACATCCACGTGTCAAGTCAAAACACCGAGGTTAGACCCGCGTCACAAAAACCACAACGCCGAGGTCACACCCGGGTTCCAAATTTAAAATGCAAGGGTGAGACCCGCGTCTCAAGTTCAAAACGCAAGGGTCCACCCTCGCATTCCAGAAGCAGGATTATGACGCATACCTTCACACAAGTCCTACGTGGCAAATCCCTTCAACCAAGATGCCTTCGAAGCGAGTGCAGAGAATGATTCCTTTATGACAAAGAATCAACAGCTCCATGTAGGCTGTCTAAAAATCACAATAGATAGCTTATCCCCCATTAAATACCGATGATGGAAGTTACAATCTGACGACTTCCAGAAGGCCATAATTTAAAGACTTTCACGTAGATCGCTGAATGTTACAATCTGACGACCTTCACGACAACTGATGAAAGCTCTAATTCAACAGCCTTCACAATCAACATCGGGAGTTACAATCTGATGACTCTCATATTTTCAAGGAGCCAAGACGAAGGTTACAAGGTGACGATCTTTACAACGCTCTAGCAAAAGAGACTACAAATTGACGGTCTCTTCATATTAAAACGCAGAGATATCTCAAACTGTAAGGAATTTGACGAAACGGAAGAAGCAAACCGAAGCCTTTGGCTGTGTTCGGATGGTTCCGTCTCGTCGAGATAGCCGATTTTTATATATAATTCGTCCAATTCCGACTTACGGTTTGAAAGTTATGACCTGTTCTTCGCAGCAAGTCATGTTCGAGATTCTTGAGATGGGGGTGCCCTTCAATGAATTTTCTATGGTTCAGAGAAATTGAACCTGCTCATGCAATATATGTTTGCATCATGATCTCAAGACCCACAATCTGATCCTACTTTCTGGAAGAAATGTGATAGTTTCAAGGCTCAACATGTAAATGCAGGTACCTAAAGGAGAGCGCTCTGTATCGAGCTTTAAGTGCATTAGCTACGTACACAGTCAGGTATGTTTCAAGAAACTTAGCATGATAATCAATTTTCATCGTTTCTGATATCGGCACTTAAATTTGCAGGCTCATCTGATCCTCCCTGAAAATTTGACGCACGAGGATCAAAGTTAAGCCTAGATGCAGCCATGGACCACCTAATAAAGCTTGCTGGAATCCCCCATGGTGAAATGACTGCTTTAGAACGGCAACTGGCTCCTACGTCTGCCAGCTTACTTTCCATTGGTGATTGGTGATGGTGGAAAGGTAAATTTCATCAGTTCGAGAATTGAGTGGTCATTGATTTTTCTGAAGGAAGTATATATGACGATGACATCACGCGAAAAAAACTAGCAGTTTTTCGTGAACAATCGAATAGCAGTTAACCAATCTGCAATTGCCAGCGATAATCTATAAGTGAGGTTGGAGTACAGAGTTGTAACCTTTAACCTTCACCGCAACTTGCAACTTCAGAGTAATCTATGGTGCGGTAGGCGGGGTCTTTAGCATGGTATCTCAGCAAATCTAGGTTCAACTTCAATTTCCCAACAGCGACAAAAACATATAGCGGATTTGAAAAGAAAGATACTGCTGGGCGCTCAAAATCCATAACAAGTGGATAACTTCCATCTCCAGTACCGTCTGAACTTGTTTTCGGACGAATAGGTGGAGTCTTCAAAGGCGAGGCGCCATGCAAAATTAACATTGCGGGCTGAAAAATCCAAACTGATTCAGTATTGTTATTTTGAGTGTAAACACTTGGATTCGAAGTTGTCTTATCGCACGCTGCACGCTAAGACATCCTCATGATCCTAGGAGGGTAAAGGGCTGTTCAGATTGATGTTATTTATTGAACAATGCCTGTGAAAGCATCATGTACAATGAACTTAAGTTCTAGTTCTTCAAATGTGGGGAACTTCATAGACTGCACAGAGCAAAAACTTGAGTTAACTGTGCAGATGCATAAAAATTTCTGAACTGAGAAGATCCGATTCAAGTCCAATCATCATCATTCTGACATCTACCCACTTTGTTATGCATGTTTGGAGAAACCTGCAAATAAAATAGATGTCAGGGGTCTACAGGCAAAAATGACCTTATTTCTGGGCCCAGACGGTAGTCACAAAGCTATTATCCCTACATCGTAATTGGACGGTCAAGATTACATCTCTGCAGTTAAATCCACATCTGATCGTCTCGTATAAAAAAACCCTAATCTCGCAGTCTAGCTCTCAACGCCGCGCTTCTCCTCCAAAAACCCTAGATTTCAAGAAGCTAGGGCTAAGCTTCTTCGAATCCAGCGGCCATGGCGAGTGATCGAAACCCTAGGCTCTCTAATCTGACGTCATCTTCTTCTTGCTTTGATCTGTCTCATATCTGATCATGTAATTTTTTTGTTTGCAGACGTTTAAGCGAAGGAATGGAGGAAGGAACAAGCACGGACGCGGACACGTCAACTTCATCCGCTGCTCCAACTGCGGAAAATGCTGCCCTAAGGTATTCTTGGTCGAGGATCAACATCTAAACCCTAGATTTTGATGCAGTTTTCATTCAGATTTTTAGGAGGAACTTAGATCTATAGAAATTAGATCGAATATGATACCGACATGTTCATGTTCGAGTTCGAATTCGGATATTCATACATAACCTTATTCGAGCATTTATTGGAGATTGGAACATATTTATTTGATTAATATTCTATATATTTTGTTGATACTAAGTTATCTGTTTAAGAGGACACTTTTATTTGGTCAAAGAGATAATTTCATTTTTTTAAGAATTAGATTTCGAGGAAGACTTAACCTCATATGAAAATTATTACTGTATACTTATATGAAAATTATTACTGTATAGTTATGATGTATAAATGTGCTAGTTAAATATTTGGTTAGGAAAAATCGATTTGGGACTCTTAAATATGTGAATATTAATGTAGAATCTGAATTAAAGGTTAAGTAAGAAATATAACATCGTGCACGTAACAATGCATGTAATATATGATCATATTGTCAAATTTTAAACCAGTATTTCATTAGAAAAATGAATTGAATATGTAAATGTTCATATATGATTCATTCATTATCCATATTCTAAAAATTATTTAATTTCTATATTGAATTAAATGATCTTTTGAATTATTTGAACAAATAATTAGACTTAATAATTGAACAATTTGACAATCATTTAATCATCAACTTCCACCCCCAATTTAAACATTCGGTCGTGCGAATTTATCTATTTAGGTTAGATACTAGTTCTTTTCCTTTTTATTGTCTTTTTCTTTTTTTTCCCATTCAAGAACTGATACCCATGTTCTTCAGGCAATTAGTTGATTTTCTGGTGCCTATGTTGAGTGCTTATTCTCTACGATATTCGTTTCTCTTCAGTAACTGTAAATCTATTCAATTTTTTTTTCTATTTCTTTAAGGACAAGGCTATTAAGAGGTTCCTTGTGAGGAACATTGTGGAGCAGGCTGCTGTGAGAGATGTGCAGGAGGCCTGTGTCTATGATGGTAATTTTGATATTTCCTTTTGATTTCTTTGATGAATGCGTTTGCTTGGAAATTTCTTTTAATCGTTAAAAAAATATTTTCAGGGTACACTCTTCCTAAGCTGTATGCTAAGATGCAGTATTGTGTCTCCTGTGCGATCCACTCCCATGTGGTGAGGGTGAGGTCTCGCACCAACAGGAGGAACCGTGAGCCTCCACAGCGCTTCAGACGCAGGGTATATTTCCTTTCCTCTGTTTTGTTTAGTGTTTCAAGTTTGTTGCTTATGCTTTCTTTGTCATAGCTGACAATTATCATTTTTCATTTGGATCATCATGCAAGATTTTTTGTTTACAGACATTTATTGCTAATGATACAATAGTATCTGGCGATGTTTTACAATTATTTGGCCACTTAATTTATGAAATCTTGCATGTACATTTCTCTTGGTATGTTTTTTTAACGTACTTGTTAAGTACTATTTTACGATGTATTTAGTTTGTATTAATAGTTTGTGCTGCCACCTGCCATCATATGTTTTTTGTTTGTCACACCATATGATACTCTATTTGCCAAATATATAAACTAACCTTCCCACGATATGCACCTACCTTATTAACTATGGTTAGTGTTTAGATATGCTAGGTTTTACCATCAAAATTGCAGTTGAATTCTCATTTATGGGTTGCTTTTCTTAGCTAGAAGTGTATTTTCTATGAAATATCTGTTCTTGAGTTCTCTGATTGTTTAATTCTATGTATGTTTAATAAATCTCACAAAATTTCCCTCTTTGGCAACATTTAATATTACAAGCACGTTTTTCAAAATGCTTGTCATCCTTGATAAGTTCACAAACTGCATACTTGTAGCTTTTTGCACAAAAAAATTCATCTAGCTTTGTATTTGTCTTTAGAATTCAAACTTTACCTTTACTTGTTTCTTGCTTTAGTCATATATTTGTCCTCTAAGAAGCCTTGGCTAACAACTGTTATCCTATGCTGATCCTTTAATTCTTGCATGCTAGTTCTGTTGAGTTTGACCATTGTTCCATAAGAAGTGTGGATTCCAACAAAGAAAATTTGAAAGATTTTGCATCTTCTATTCAAAGCTATATTCTCCCTTTTTCTTGCCTAAACATGTATATTTTGTTCTAGATTGTTATGTCAAGTATACATATACATAAACTCTAAATTTAATCCTCTTATTTTCTGTCATCTGTGAAGTTTTTGTTCTTCCAAGAAAAAAGTGATAAGGCATGTGTTTGTTTGTGCAGGCCGTGCATAACTTTATTTGTACCTATGAAGCAGCTAGCACTACTTGGATTTTAGCAACCCGATCCATTTCTTTTTTCATCTTATAGTTTATGACCTATGAATGTGGGAGAATGCTATCAAGTTTTAAGATGATACACCTTTAGCCTTGTAGTAGGTGCACCATCAAAGTATGAGTTTTTCACATTATAAACTCTAACTGGTAGAATGCAAGAAGGTGATCTATCTTTAGAAAAATGAAGTCACACTATTAAATGCCATCTTCACACTTCATGTTCAGCTAGAAAGACATGTATACAGTTCGCTTAAACTGACTTATCTAGTTTATGCTAGGCCTTGGTAAAATCTAGACCTCACATTTTTGAATCTAGGAATTACAATTGCATTGTAATTTATTTATGTAATATTAACCTCATTCCTCATAAATTTAGGGTGTCATTGAAGTGTCACGAAGTATCTGAGCTTCAAAGTTTTAGAATGCAAAATAATTCAGAAATATCCTAGCGTAGCCATGCAGCGTCCACAAAATACAGTAATCATGATTTTTTCTTCTTTTGTTTGGGTTTTTTTGGCGTGGTGTTGGTTCTTGATGTATACTAGTAAATTTACATGCGAAACCATTATGAATTTCACATGCTGTAGAATACTATGAAATTTTCACTTGTAAAGTTCTGGGAAAATTTTCCTAGTTACATTTTAGCAGTCTGATGGGCCCTTGGTCCTGGTCCAGATTTTGGAAGCCCAACATACTGGATTGGGGCAATACTGGGTTTTTAATATCCTGCTTTTGTACTGGGACGTCAGATTTGTTAAGCTTTAACATGGTACACCTGTAAATCCCAAAATATGTTGATGGTTAAGTATGATTATAATTCTAGTTGCATCCTAATTATGTGATACCCTTCTCCTAGTTAAATTTAATTTGCTTGCAGTTATTTTCATAAATGGTTTTATTTAGGTATTATCTAGGTAGTGGGTGCCCTAACCGAGGTGAAAGAATAATGTTAGCCTCGCCATTGCACTTTTCATGGGAAAACAGCTGCAGTATTGTCCATATGATACCATATCTATGAATGAATTATTGACTGACCTTCTATTGTTTTGTTCTCGCAGGACGACGCGGCAAAGCCTGGCCAAGCTCCTCGCCCTGCTGGAGCGCCAGCACCAGCTCGCACCTGATGTTTCTGAGTATTAAAATTGAGTTGTGGTGTTTTCAGTGCTCGAACATTTTCTCCCTTTAGTTCTAAGACAATTTTGCTTGAGATTAGACTTTTGGAGTGATCTAAGAACATGTTTTATTTTTATACTTGTTCCTGCCTTTTGCTTTGATTTTGTGTGTGAAACTGTTCAATCCAGCATTCGACTTATTTTATTTTGCACTTCACGTGAGATTCTCGGAAAAAAGAAGTTGCTATAGAAGGCCCTTTACGTAATAATGTAGGTAGGATGCACGTATATATTGTCTATTATGTCTCGTTTGATAATGCGGGTTTGATAATGTGGGAATGGAGTAAAGTGAAAATGGAATGAAAAATAATAAAAATGTAATTAATATAGGAACATGGTGCTCATTTTTATTCTCACATTTGAGTTTAATTTGAAACATGGTGCTCATTTTTATTTTCACTTAAGTGAGAATGTTTGTTTTTCTATCATCTTATTGGGAATGCTCATTAGGGGAAGTGAGAATGAGCATTCTAGCTTTTAAATGATGTCATGTTTGGTACGAATGAATGAGAAGTGGGAATTGTTATTTCGTTCTTACTCATTCTCGCGTCATTCAATTTCTATTCATTCTCGCTTACCAAGCAAGTTGTTAGTGTGGCAACTGATGTCCATCCGTGCAATCTTTGAAAAATGTAAGTAGCGTGCATTAATATTCGTGAATGCAAGGTGTCACACCCTCCCCTCTTCTTATACATGGCTGTGTGCGTGTCATTTTTATTAATATTCGCGAATTTTTTTCTACTAAGTAATGTTGCCTATTTCTCTTACAAATAAAAGTTCCTTTTTCCATAAATTGATTCTATGACCATTTTCTGAGACTGCAAATTGCCATACGGAGTGCCAGGTTCGGGATGTCGATCGTTTTGTTTTGCAAAACGTCCAAAGTCTGTTTTTGGATAGGAACCACGTATATTTGAACCCCCGTTAAGGAGACGGACAGAATCTCTGTGGTTCTATTCGCAATTCGGCCAGTACTAAAGGGGTCTATCGGGCACAAATAGAGCTACGAGGAGTCTATTCGCAATTGGTTGATACTACTACAAGGGGTCTATTTGCAACTATGAAATCACTCGTAAAGTTTTGGGAAGATCATTTACCCAGTAATGATTTAGGTACCGGAGCTAACGAAGTTCTGGGAAGATCATCTCAAACAGAAAGTTTGTTACAACACCGACATATCGTACGTGCGCATGCATTATCGCTAGTCCGAAAATCTACGCGTCTCCAACAAAAATCCTCCCGTAAATTCAGTAGACCCCACCAAAATATGTCCTAAAATACCCCCATTCTTCCGGGGCCTCAGGAGCTCTCAAAACAAAAACACCAATCCCCCTCTCATCCCCTCTCTGTCCTTAACCGGACCAACGCCATCCTCACCAACAAATTTTTGAACATTCCTCCCCCAAAAAGATCCCCATATATCTGCACATTAACCCCAATTTACCCCGAAAGTTTCGTCTATGAATTTATAACAAGGGGGAGATCTGCTGCAGGACGACCGTCTAAGACATGAGCTGTTTTTCTTGCTTTTCGTCGAATGAGAGAAGAGCATCGAAGAAGTATGGATCGAGGAGAGAGTACGCGTCCATATCTGCGCCTGCACCCGTTGTTGTATCCGCTAGGAGCTCCGGTGCGTTGCTTTTCGCAGCCTGAATGACATGTTTTGCGAATTATATGCACGATATATATTCAAAATTACTTAACGTGAAGATTACTATGTTGAGTTAATAGCTTGCAAGCCCCACATCGTTTGATTGCGGAAAATTAGACTATAAAGAATTATGACACTTATAGTTGTGATAAATGTTGCTTAGAAACATTTCGGATAAATTTCATAAGCAACATTATGGCAATAGAGAAGCAATGCTGAAGAGCTCTTCAGCATTCACTCTGGAAATTATGGCAATAGAGACTGCAATGGAACTTGTATATATATTAGGAGGGGTGGGGGGGAATTGAATATCCATACTTTTAAACGTTTTTATGTACAGAAGCAATGCTGAAGAGCTCACAGAATCCAGCAACTAAAAAGGAAGCTGAAAATGGAAATATTGCAGCACAAACATTTACATTCAGAGAGCTCGCTGCAGCCACCAAGAATTTCCGGTCTGAGTGTCTTTTGGGTGAAGGAGGGTTTGGACGGGTTTATAAGGGCCAACTCGAGTCTGGCCAGGTAAAGAAATAATGGATTATATATTTGTGGTTGTGGGTATAATTATTTATCCTTCATGTTCTATTTTATTAGTACGTACATACATCACTAATTGGCGGATTTTTTTGTTATTTTTTTTTATTTTAGTTTTTAAGCTCCTGCTAGAGGATTTTCGAAAAACAATGAAAATTGAAGGTTTTTTTTTTTAAGAAAACCCAGACTTAAGAGGGATTTTGTGAAATGTACCCTTTTAGTTTGTTGTGTTTACCGAGGATTTACAAATGGTTTCTTGTCCACCTTGACCAAAGTGGAGTCACGTGACCCCACTTCGGTTAAAGGTGGATCCGCCACTGCGAATATTCTGGAAATGTCTAACTCTGCCCATTACGTGGTTCTCATGCGAGAGTTTAAAAAGTAACCAAAAACATGTCATCACACGGATTAAGGTGTATGAGCTAATAAATAAAACACGAATAATAAGTAGTTAAAATCAATACATGAATGATTATACGGTATATACGTACTCCATTCCTCTATCCTTTCTTATGGATCTAATACTCTCATTTAAAATTTGTATCAGCTTGCAGCCGTCAAGCAACTTGACAGAAATGGGTTTCAAGGCAACAGGGAGTTCCTTGTTGAGGTTCTGATGCTCAGTCTCCTCCATCATCAAAATCTTGTGAATCTTATAGGATACTGCGCAGATGGAGAGCAGAGGCTCTTAGTCTACGAGTTCATGGCTTTAGGTGCCTTAGAAGATCATTTACTTGGTAAGAAGCCAGAGATTTTATGAATTACCTACGATCTATGTCATCTCATTCTATAACATTAACAACAGCAGAAAACACTTTTATCCCAAAATTTTAACGCCCGCTACATGAATCATACTCTTTCATTTAGTACTTTGATTTATTTTTGTTAAGAGTTATCTCCCCCCCCACTAAGTTAATCACTATCATATTCTTCTTAACATTATCTAATCAAATTCTCCTAGGTGTACATCCAGTCCTTATTTGTTGTAACTTATATTATCATTCTTATTTTTTCGAGAAAAAGGATGAGGGGCTCAAGAGAAACTCTCAGCCGCGCCTATGCAAGAAACCATAAATGGTACTTTATATTAACATTTCTTATAATTGCTACATTCTCTGTTCATATGGTCGAACCATCTCAACTTCTTCTCTCGTTTGATTGGCGTAACATCTAACTTCCTACTAATCTACTCATTTGTTAGCATATCACACTTCGGTGTATACTCGCTCATCCATTGCAGCATTTCCAATTTTGCTACATTCAACTTTTACATATGTCATCCCCCAATTGCATAATATTCTGATTAATAAAGCATCGTAAATCTTATAAAAATTTCCCCTTCAATTTCGAGGATATTCTACAATCACTTTCTACTTCACCCATCACGATTTGGTTCGATGAATCACATCATCCTCAACCCGCTATCTCGATGAACAGCCGATCCTAAGCTGCCCTCGATATTTCTCGACCCTCAATATGCAATGTACGCTCATTCTTTTACGCAATTTTCTTAAAACCGTATTTAATACTTGCATTTCTGTCTGCATTTGCAGACATCCCAGATGGTCAAACTCCCCTAAGCTGGTCCATCAGAATGAAAATAGCTTTCGGAGCAGCCAAAGGTCTTGAATATTTACATGACAAAGCAAACCCCCCTGTAATATACAGAGATCTCAAATCATCAAACATTTTGCTTGATGAAGAGTACAACCCAAAGCTTTCAGATTTTGGGCTAGCAAAGCTTGGTCCTATGGGGGAAAACGTGCACGTTTCCTCCAGGGTCATGGGGACCTATGGCTATTGTGCGCCGGAGTATGCAAGGACTGGCCAGCTCACTTTCAAGTCAGATGTGTACAGTTTTGGTGTTGTTCTGCTTGAGCTTGTAACGGGGAGGAGAGTAATTGATACTCAGAGGAATATTTATGAACAGAATTTGGTGACATGGGTATGTTCCCTATACAATCTGTTTACATTTGAGATATTTACATTTATAGTATTTATCAGAGAAGGGCAAAAAAGGAGTTTCAGCCCAATTTTTCTTTGGCTTGAAAAATGACTCTTAAATTAGTCCAAGGCTCGACCACCCCCCTGTATGGTTTATTCGTACCCTCGTTAGGATATAACTGGGGCTGAATATGATACAACCAAACTGTTAAAAACGGGGTTATGAAGGCTAAGATCATTCCTAAAACTCACACAATCAGCCGTGGACTCGGTTTGGATCGGTTCGGTCAGTAACATATTGAAAATTTTCAACCCGAACCGAATATGATACAACCAAACTGTTAAAAACCGAGTAATTCGACCAGTTCGACAGGTGCAGACCGAAGTCCGTGCAACCCTACCACTCACTAACCTCCTGTTGTTCTTGTTTTACTTACAGGCACAACCGATGTTCAAGGATCAAAAACGATACAAAGAGCTCGTCGACCCCCTACTCAAGGGAGACTACCCGACGAAAGGTCTTAACCAAGCACTTGCAGTAGCAGCAATGTGTCTACAAGAAGACGCAGAAACGAGGCCGATGATGACCGATGTGGTTACAGCGCTGAGTTTCCTTTTGTCGCCGAGTGCCGAAGAGAGCTCAGCTCAGTCTGCAACACGCCAAGATAGTAAGCACAGTGATCGGAGTACATTGGATAAGCATACGGCTGATGATCGCCAGCGTGCAGTGCAGGAGGCAATCGAGTGGGGTGCGAGCTCAAGAAGCCATCAGATGTTCAAATGTGATGATGATCAGAGAGACTCGTTCTAAAAACAAAGCAAACAACCGAAATAACTTGTTTCTCGTATTTGTGTATCATACACGTACAGCGATTCCTTCTAATGTGTATATGTGAAACAGTACAAGATTGATCATATGGTATATGAAGCTTGATATGAAAATGTTGACATGAAAACTTATTAATTTATTTACCAATGAACTGTGGTGATGATACACATGGCCATTATTTACATCATAACTTGTTCATATCTTACAAGTATGAAATCCTTGTAAATCATTTATGTCAATTGCTGCTTAGATCATTGCGTTTTCAATGTTAGGCATCAGTCTCCTTGAAAAGCTCGCGACCGATGATCAATCTTCTAATCTCACTTGTTCCAGCGCCAATTTCATAAAGTTTTGCGTCTCTAAGAAGTCGACCAGTGGGGTATTCATTAACATATCCATTACCACCAAGACATTGGATAGCCTGCCATGATAACAAGTAAAACTTACAGTTCATAGACTGTTCAACTAGTTCACGAGCATCAGTTACATGTTTTTTTTGTCCCAGACGGAGAGATGTGGCAGTATTTAGGGTCTTTTTACACATCGATCAGTTTTAGGGGTGAGTTCTCCTAGGTTTCTAACGAAACATATGAAAGAATTCTGAACATGAAGTTTTTGAAAGCAGTGACATTGCAGGCAAAGTAGAATTTGAAAATGTAATGTCAAATGACATGGGTACAATCGATAGACGGAATGGGAAGAGAACTTTAGTTTTCTCCTGAAGAACGGAAAAGACGTACCTAAGCAAATTGTTTTCCTAAAATGAGAGAATAGGAAGTAGGGTTACTAAATTATCTGAAACAAGATTATGGATGTGAGTAATTAAAACACTACTAAGAAAAGCTAGCAAAATAATCCTGAAGTGAACAGGACTAATGTGTCTATTGGGCAACAATAAAATCCTAATTAGGGTGATGGTTGTGATCCCTTTAGTTCATGCCTTTGTATAACTAGATTAGCAAATTCCCAAGGACATTGAATTCAATCCTAATTAAGTTTTCTGAAAAGTAATTATAAAATAAAGGAATTTATTCTGATGAAATGATAACACCATTGTATCAATTGTCAGGGCATCCATCATGCACCATTAGGCCTTGAGGATGTAAAGTTATCAACATTTTCTTCTTTATCACATTTTATAACAAAGTTTATGTATCAGAATATTATTTCAGTTACATGCACACATACCCACACAAACAAATGGAGAGAGATGAGGTTTAGTATTTATACCTGAAGCGCAACTTGGGTGGCCTTTTCAGAAGCAAAAAGAATAACTCCGGCACAGTCCTACATAATATAAATAACAAATGTATGAAACTAGATGCAGAAGCAAAAATAATTGATGACATAATGTTTTGAAGACATTCCGTGGCCAGAAAAAAAATACAACACAATACATTTCAGAGATAGACGTAGATGTACACATATATACAACTAAAATGCAAGAGAAGAAACAAGTGATAGCAGAGTGGTAGGAATGTTGTTTACTTATCTGATTTCACACACGTCAAACATAGATGCTTTTCATCAAGCAACAATATTTTGAAAAAAGTAATAAAAGCAACCAGGAAAATTGCAAGTTATAATGAATCATAACCAATGCACGGGTACTTAAGTCACTGTGCAAGGTGGAGTTAATGACATCTTGTTCTAATTGAAGAAAGAAAAACCACAAACACTACTGGGTTTAGATGTCTCCTATCAAATCAATTGGACTAGTTGGCAGTATAAGACGGGTTGAGTTGCACATGCGACAAAGAGAAAGATATCCGAGTGTTAAAATTTGGATGAAAACAATAGAGATTTTTCATTTTGGATCATACAAGTTACAAGCCAATTAGCTACAGCATCCACATTAGTGGGCCCACCACAAACTGCTACTATAATTTAGAGCTAAAGGTAGATGTAGCCTTAACCATCAAGTTCATGAGAATATTTTAGAAAATTTATCAAAATTCTGAGAAAAATAAAAAACTCTAGTCATTCGACTTCATGTATACAAATTTACAGCAGCTATTTACTTGGAAGTTAATGCTCCAGACGAAGATGATACGATTCAAATATTAATTAAGGGTGAAGGAAAAGATGTCTTCGTCCACTTTAAATCCGGTTCATTGCTAAGCAAAGGAATTAGAAAATAAATCAAACAAATGATAGGTAAATCACATGATACAAGTTCGTAACAAATTAGAATAGAAAATAATGTACAAGAGTACCTTTCGATCAACTTCCCCGTTATCACAATCTCTAGCAACAGAATACACGAAAGCTCTGAAAGAAAAGGGGAAAGGTAAAAGACAGTTTACATCTAAATAAAATTTCAGAAGTAGGAGCACAAAAATTGTTACCTTGATGACTGTAAAGAAGTATACATATCAGCCAATTTCCCCTGTAAATTTCCTCAAATTCATAAAGGTGCAAATTACAAGAAAATACCAAGATCATGCAACTCTTGTATGCATCAATTTTGGAGGAATGGGTCAAAACTGAAAGCACATACCTGTATAAATTGAAATTCTCCAATAGGACTACCAAACTGTTCACGCTGCCGAACATAAGGTAGGACAGCATCAAGGCAGGCTTGCATAAGACCAATAGGACCAGCAGCCAAAACAAGCCTTTCCAAATCCAATCCAGACATCATGACATAAACTCCTGTTACGAAAAAGTTATATCACACATCATTTTAAAATGTTATGTTGGTCTACATATCCAGTGAAGAGTAAGAAGGCTGAGGCAATATAAACAAATTACACACAAAGCAGACGTTGATTTACAAATTTGATTTTAACAATAAGATGCATAAGCAAAGAGAATTCAATTGTCTTATGCAGACAATTGTCAGATGTTCAAATGGTTTGAAATGCAAGCATAAACTCCTGTTTCCAATCAAATATTGATGTCATCCATAGCCATCGCCATCCATTGAAGTTAAGAGGCCATTTCCATAGACTTCAGTCTACTGCTGGATTATTGAATCTCATAAAAAATGTGGTGACATTTGTAAAATCTATTTAAGATTGTCACCTAAGAAACTGCAATTAGATTATTTTCTTGTGATGAGATAAGGAGAATAGAATATACTGAAGCCACAGACTCCTCCAAGCATGACTATAATATTAAAGGGAAAAAAATTAAATATCTTCTCGATTCTAGAGGAAGTTATGTGCTCATCCACCCACATCTGTACTAACCCCCAGACACTGACTCAACATCCAAAAATAAGTAAAGTTAAACCCCACAAGTGGCTTGGGGCCTTGGCTCAAAAGGCCAAGGGTCGATCTGTGTCTATGATAGGCTTATCCCCAATTCCTAATTACTAGGCATTGCAACACTTGTGCTATTCGCCTGGCCTAGACTTGGGTTTTTTGGAGGATTGGGGAGGGGGATGGGGGTGGTTTGCTTGGCTAGTAGAAAGTCAAGGTTCCTCCCACCAATTAAAAAAAGTAAAGGTCCTCCTCGTTTTAGCATTGTCATAACTTAAAAGGTCTAACAGAATGTACTTTACAACTTTTTGATAGGTGTAGTTGCAACAAGTAGCCGACATAGGCATAAATATCCCTTCACAAGAGGCTGAATTTCCAGTTATCTTTAAACCATGTTCTAATATGTGCACCAATCATAAATATCCCTTCACAAGAGGCTGAATTTCCAGTTATCTTTAAACCATGTTCTAATATGTGCACCAATGATGCACAACCTAACATCTAAATCAAGAGTTATCTTTAAACCATGTTCTAATATGTGCACCAATGATGCACAACCTAACATCTAAATCAAGAAATACAATAAACTTTAGAAACCTTGAATGATTACCTTTTCCCTCTTGTCCTAGTATGTTTTCATCAGGTACGAAACAATTCTCAAAAACAAGCTCACATCTGCAGGAAGCATTACCATAGAGAGACACCTAAAAGGTAATGTTTAAATAAAATAGTGCAGAATTATAAATGAACAAGTGAAACTTACGTATCACTTCCTCGCATTCCAAGTTTGTCCAACTTCTGGGCAGTAGAGAAACTGCAAAAGTGAACAACTGTAAGCAGGGAGAACTCGTAGCATGACTTAGCATTGAACAATATTGACAATTATGCATTAAAACTAATGAAGAGTAGATGTTGCTTCAAATAGAGAATATAAATTCAGAAACTGTGCATGATACATGACTTTCAAAAAGAAACTTACTGAGTCCATATTAATAAGTACAAACTAGAATAGAATATTATAAATACCCTGGCATCCCTTTCTCAATTATAAATGCTGTTATTCCTTTTGATCCAGCAGTAATGTCTGTTTTTGCATAAATTACCTGCTCCAATCACAACCTATCAGTTAATCAATAAAAATTGTGCCGCTTTCTATATTACAAAGAAATAGCATTGCTGGAGTACAGAAAATTCCTTGATATTCTTTTCTGATCTCATAATTGCAGTTCATGAATTCTACATGCCACTGAAGGGCATTTAGTAAAAAGTTGGGGAACAAAAGTAAAAACCCATTTATCAAATGTAAGAACAGATTATGACAGCTGGTATGAGTTTGAATCCCTTAAATGCATTAAAGAAATAATCAAAAACAGAAAACAGTTTTTCTTAAATATGTCAAAAGATTAATGTAGACGAAGACATTAACCTATCTGTTATTTACTCTCTCAGAGGAATAGTTCAAATTGGGTATGTTCTGCAAAGAATTAGAAACTAAAGATATATACAAAAGCAACTATTCTGATAATGTTGTTGAGACTTTGCCTTGACAATTTTAGCTCATACATAGTTTAGTTTATTGTAATAAGACACAATAAGAAATAGGTAGAAACCAACTCACTGCTTGATATTTATAAGGCTAAAAAAGCAGAAAATAAGATTAGATGAGCATACCAGTGTTTCAGCAATCGGCCCATTTGTACACCACATCTTGTTTCCATTAATGACATATCCACCATCAACTTTCTCAGCTTTGCATTTCATACTAACAACATCAGAACCAGCTGAAACAATAGAATTACAAGATGTGCGCAAACACTAGAAGTTATTATAGATATAAAGACCTCATGAAATAAGAAAGGTACTGTTAATGTCTCATTTACCGTTGGGTTCACTCATTGCCAATGCCCCCACATGTTCCCCACTGATCAGCTTCACAAGCAAAAAACACAATTAGCAATGAGAAAACGAAAGCTTTTGACTGATTGAAAAGGGCTAATGGGAAAAAGAGCATTATTCAAGACATAATTGAAAACAACATGAATGGTACTTTTTTACTACAGCTTACCCAACTGGAAAAGCCAAGAAAAAAAGAATAATGGTAATAATGAAAAACAAACTATCATGTAATCATACGTCTGCATGTAATGGTCCTTGAGTACTAGAGTACACATGTGAAATGTGCTTTTGGATGTTAAATCTTCTTAATCCTTAGATGCGCCTTTAAATTTTCAACTTGGTTTTGCTTTATGATGCAGTTAATGCACTTAAAAATCACCAGATCACAGTAAACTATATTGAAGAACCCAATGGCTACAAAAGTTTGACATCCAATACACACACAGGTAACATATTTAAATAAATGTGCAGAATCGTAAGCGTACTTGAACCATAAGAAAATTACCTAACTTCCAATTACCCAACCAGTAACACATTATTCCGATTCTTTTCTTAACATTATGAGATCACTCTCTTTCTTTATTACTAAAAATATCTTGACAAAACTGTTGCACCTTTTCCTTCTCTTTTGTAGTGACCACTTTGCAAAATCGGCAATGGCTGATGCTGACAACGAGGAATCAGCAATGACTATTTGTAAACAGAGAGGCTACAGTTCAACAATAACTTGTTGAATCAAGAGAAATTGTTATAATTTACTAAAGTATAAGAAGGCATCATTTTTTTGATAAACATGTCAACATAACTTGGCATGGACATATATGACATGCAGTAAATTTTTCATAAGCTACGAATGAAATAAAGAGTTCAAGGATGACAATTACTAAAGGCTGCTAAGCTTTCGAGTATTATATTTGGATGTGCACAAAAAAGAAATGGAAAGCATGACTATTATTCCAATCACTAATATCCTAGGGTGGGAAAGGGTTTCTTAAGATTTATATTATCTAAAAGTAAATAAAAGGAAACAACCAAACAATAGCGCAATTTTTACCAAGACAGCTAATTGTAAGGGTTGTTAGAAGAGAACCTTTGGTAGGTATTTCTGCTTTTGTGCAGCACTCGCATTCCGCACCTACAATAAAATATACATGTTAATATATGCATATCTTAGAAAACAGTGCAACAATATAAAATGTCATGTTAACAGCAGCCTGTTATACCAATTGATTAATGCAAAGGTTTGAATGAGCACCATATGAAAGGCCAACAGATCCAGAAGCACGACTTATTTCTTCCATTGCTATACAGTGATACAAGTAACCGAGACCAAGGCCTCCATATTCCTCTACAGTGGAAACAATTGAGTCAAACAAGATGAGATATAGTGAATTTCACGGGCAATAGACAAATAAAAAGGTAGGTACTAAAGGAGACTAGAAATGTCATCCATGAAAAAAAAAATAGTATCAGATGAAGCACTCTGAGAAATACATATGGACAAGATTATGTGCATATGTTCATAAAATTGGCCTTCAGTACCTACAGAAGAAAATATATAAAAAAGAGGAATACAATATCTTTTATTAGATTTTTGAGTCATCTATATGAACCTATCCATTTTGTTGTACCCTGATCCACTCCTTTTGCCACGTTTCATCAACTGCATATCCTCTATTACTGCTTTAATCAGAACTTTGCTCTACCTTAGTCCTATCTTCAACTAGAATCCTATCATAGCATGCTAAGTGGCACATTAATCATTCTTGATCACACATGATACAATCTTTCCTTCATATATACTCTTTCTATATTATTAACCCTTGATAAGTCAAGATCTATGTCACGTCTATTGGATCATATTATGAGAAGAAATTTTACACAAGCCCATATTGTTAAAAGTTTGAGGTTACATAGCTGGATTTTATCCAGGAAGCTCTCATGGAGATCCATTCAACTTTCAGCCAAAGAAATTGAGGTAAATGTCACCTGCAGAATAAACTTCTCAACAATATTCTAGCTCCTAATCAACAATTTTAGCAATCTACTTCTCACCAAGCTAGCAGTCAACAATATGCAAAGTTAAGGAAACTGCATAAGTATTGTTTCACTGAAGTTTCAAGTTTCAGGACAGCATAGTTGAATAGGGAATAATATGCTTATGAGAGGAAACTGCAAAAGGCTATGCAACTTTCCTTTTTTCGTTCCTCAGGCATAAACAACAATTAGACCAGAGCACCTTGGCCAGTCTCCTGAAACCATCCATCAGGGATTGTTCTGTTTGACATTTTTCCAAAATAGTCAAACCATTGTAGAGCGAAATTGTGCCATGAACTTCTCAAAGGAAGATCTATGTAATTTGATTACTCATAGTTAGTTTTAAAATAAAATTTATAGAATGTTGATGCATTTTTACATGCTTTACATTCGAGAATCCCATGATAACTTGAAGCCTGTTTATAAAAACAACAAGCTATCTGTGTCATCAAATAATATCATTAAGTACACTGTTTTATTACAGCATGATATAAAAAGTTATTATGAGGCCCACAGCCTTTACTGTGATTGCTGCCATGATAAAGACTTGAAAGTTAAAATGCTCTCAGAGAGACATTTGAAAATAGTTGTAAAAGAAAAAAGGAACAACTTTTTTTAATTAACTGAAAACTGAACATAAATTGCTGAATATTCAGTTTGAAGAAAATTTGACCTTGCTGATTATCATCTTTATACCTGGTGCAGTGATGCCATGGAGACTAAAATCTCCCATGAGTTTCCACAAATTAACATCCTAGAACAAGTAACAAAATGATTAGGTGCAAACATCTCATTCCTTGTTAAATCAAGTTGATGATTTAGAACACAACCTTTGGAACTTGATTAGCTGCATCAATCTTCGCCGCATAAGGGGCAATATTTTCTTGGGCAAATTGACGAACACTTTCTTTAAACTATGAAATTAGAGTAAAAATTTTGTTAATAAAACATCTAAACAAAATAAAGGGAAAAATTACTTTTCATAAGACAAACTAACATAAATTTACATGTAATGGGAAGACAAAAGGTAACCATTCACGAGCAAGAAACATCTCATGGATCACCTATGCATTAGTATGATGAAAAAATATGCAAAAAGAAAAGTAGTTTCTTTTTCCATTTTAGAGATATCACAATATTCAGTAACACAAGTGGGATTAACCAAGAGGAGAACTTTAACTATAGATAAGTTGGTCTTATACAAGAAGACCTATTCATTTTAAAAGTTCCATGTTTCAAAATTTTCTCAGTGAATATGATTATAGAAAAGGTACTCTCTCTCCACCCTCACCCACACACATTTATTGCCTAGCCCAACTAAATCAGAGCAGAAAGGAGAGGAGAAGAAGTCTCTTCCCAATATTTTTTTTTTCTTTTTTGATTTTTGGGTTCTCTCACCTTTTGCTCTCTTCTCGACCAAAACAGAGCTGCATGGAGAGGGGAAATCTCTTACATTCTTTTGTTCTATTTCCGGTATTTGGTGTTCATAAATTCTGTTGATTTTACTTAAGGGCAATAATCCTAACAGATCCGAAAATGATGGGGTTGACTGGTCTCTGTGTAGCAAATTTGGCTGTAAAATGTACAAGATCCGGCTACAGGATGACATTTTTGAGTACATCTGATGGAGATGTAGTAGATTCTGCTGTAGATGTGGAAGATTGAACATTGAACTGCAAGATGAATTTTTTTAGCAGATAAAGATGAGATGTTGCAGATTCAATTGTGGATGTGGTAGGTTAGACCGCAAGATGATATTTTTAAGTACAACTGATCATCGTGTAGAAGAGCTGACTATGAATCTGGAATGGGTCGGTCGGGTTGACAAGGTGCTGCTCTAAGACAACGACGGGTGTGCCACAGGCATCAAGGGGCTTGCCGCCCTTGATTTGTCAAACTTGACAAGTTAGTCTAAGGCGATGAAGGGTTCGCTGAGGTGAGAAAGGGCTTGCCAAATTTGGTCATGGGTTCATAGGAGAAGACAATAGATTGATTGAGAGATGATGAGAGGTTTGCCGAAGACAACAAGGGGCTTGTTGTGTCCATTGGTTTGTCTGCGCTGAGAAAGGACCGGTTAAAGATGACAAGGGATTCGCCGGAGGTGACAAGGGGCTTGCCAAGATCCAGCCATGGGTTTGTCAGATCTGAACAGCGGTTGGCCTGAGACAACAAGGGGCTTTTGCCAAAGCGGGATTGGTCGGAGACGACCAAGGGATTGTTGAATATGGTCATGGTGGAGCTGACAAGAGGTTGGCATGCAAAGGCAAAGGGTTTATCAATACCGAAGAGAGTTTGGTTAGAGTTGAAAACAGCTTGTTGGATACGACCATAGTTCATTATAGATGACTATGGGTTAGCCTTAGGCCCTGAGACAAGGAAGGCTTTACATGTATTATATTTCTTTATTTTTCTCGAGGGATTAAACTATATGCCAGTTGTCATATATGTTTGTATCTTTCTAGTTTGTATCTTGTTTTATTATTATCTTTTTTTAATGAAATCTCAAGGCATAAGCTTCATAGTTTCTCTAAAAAATATGATTATAAAGCAACACCACGTAGAAAATTATAGTGTGACAGTGAACAGGAGTACAGGACTCTATGAAGTTGAAGAAGACTGAATTTAGATCAATTTCAAATTTTCATCCTTGTTTGTCATAAATGAACTTTTGAGTGACACATACCGCTTTAACACATATTGGTTAAAATTGTAACAAAAATGATATATACATACACAACCTGAAGAAGATGACAATAGTGACAAGGTCATTGACATAATTTTCATCCTTAATAAATGAATATGACATTTTATTGATCCTTAAAGAAAACTTTTATATGATAACCTTTCAACATATTTGTAGAATGAAACACTCGTGTATTCTAAAATAGGGTTCACCGCACACATAGGGACTGTTTGTTTCCATGCATTTAGCAAGCTTGCATTAAAAGAATGGGACCGAAAAGTTAAAAATCATGTTTTTAGCAACAACATTTGTTTGTTTGACATTTTTCTACACTACGGATTTGGGGTTATCACGTAGAACAGATGCATTAAATGCAATTCCCTCAACTTATGTTGAATTCAATAAGATTTGTGATTTTAGTACATATCCTCAACAAACGGCTAAATGGCACTTATATACCTTATTGTTTCCCTCTTGTACCATTTAAATACCCTAAGTTACAAAACATAGCAAAAAAAATACCCTGAGTTGGTAAAATGGTGCAAGTTACTACCTTCAATTAACCAATAGTGAGAAATGAGAATATTCCTTGGAATATTCCCACGTGTTGCCACATGAGAAAAGTTAATGTTTTTACCATGATTCATTATAGTATTTACTACTTTACCTACCCCTCTCCCAGTATCCAAGGAAGGGCATTTTGGTCCAATTGAGTTTTTTAACACCATTAGCTCAATTCAAAAGGCTGCTTAGTGTACTTTTTTGCTATGTTTTGTAACTTCGAGTATTTAAGTTCTTCAAGAGTGAAACAATAAGATGCATTAAGTGTCGTTTAGCCTCAACAAATTTCATATGCAACCAAACAAACTTTGGTTAGATTTTATCTTTCATGCAAATCATCTTTAATATCCATTGCAAACATACAAGATTTTGAGTATAAATCTTTCAAAATCTCTTACATGCATAAAGATGCAATCCACGAATCAAATAACCCATAGAATCCCGATTCTTAACTTATTACCTCTATAGCTTCAGCTTGGGCTAATAGATCCCTTTCTGACTCTTTTACACGAATGACTCTTTTACACGAATGACACATCAGCAGATATTGCCCTCGGGTGAAACTAGTAAGTCTATTTGAGGTTAAAAGAATAATAAAAAGATTTCATTCAAGGGTCTATCAGTCAAAACGAAACTACAATGACAGTAAATTCAAAATGGTGATACTACATGGGGTTTATGTGCACTTAACTTTAGAAAATAGAATGCTTTGTTAACTCACCACTCAATCTTGCACTCTATTTTCTTTTCATTTTTCTTTTTTTTATAAGAATGTTTTCATCTCTTCTACTGAAGAACTACATTGTGTTTGGATAGAGATAGAGAAGGGAAGGAGAAGAGAATTTTAATTTAAACCTTATTTAGGAATTTACTGAGATGTGAGAGGTAACGCGATGGAAAAGAGAGGAGAAACTTCTCAAAGAAATGACAAATATTGTTCCCCCAAATTGGGTAGTAGCGGAGAGAAAGGTAAATGCTCATAAATCTTTCAGTGTGAGGCAATTTCACCTCTATCAAATTGAATCAACAACTAAAATTTAATCATATAACCCTATAATCTCAGCCCAAAGAAAGATCGGTTCATCTCTATTTTTCTCCGCCTCTCTCCGCTCTCTCTGTCTCTATCCACTCTCCACTCCTCAGCCCCTCCAACGCCTTCTCACTCCAGCTTCGGCATCTGGTCAGTCATGATTTCTTCTATTTGTTCTTATTATCATGTACCAAGTCGATTGTTGGTTATATCATGGTTTACCTTGTAAAACAAGGTTCAGTGCTACTAAATGCTAAAACTTATACTCTATCACGTTAATAGAAACATCAAAAGGTGTTTGATAAAAGGAAATAGTTGGGCAGTGGGGGACTGAGCGCAGTTCATAAGTTGGCATCTGAAGAATTATTTCTTATATATTCTTGTGAGATTATCTTTCTTCTTAACTTTCATCTCCATGAACAAATTTCTAAGCCCTCTTTGTGAGTGTGTTAATAGCATTATACGTTGGATATTGTAATAATAATAATAATAGTGCTAGTAATAATAATTTAAGTTTCCTAACATTCGTTGGTATTTTTAGCTTCTTTTTTTATCATTTATTAGTTGAAAAAATATTTTCATAACATGTAAGGTTATTTATGTAAATTTTCATATATTCTCTTCACTTCGCTTCCTTTTATTAGAACTTCCTATTAGAGTTGATGTATAAGTCCTTTCAAAACCTGGACTAAGTTTCAAAGTACATATGTATTATAGTATATATTTTTATAACAAAAATACATTGTAGCCTAGTGCTTAAAAATCTTTTTGAATAAATCATAGGTCGTTAAAGGCTTGCCGAAGGCAAACCTCAACTCATTTAATTTAATGATTCTCCATTAGTATAAACCTGGACTCTGACTCAAGTTTGGGTCGTGGATCAGGGATAATTAGACTGAAATGCTATCTTTCTAGTTGCACTTTGCACCTTGGCATTAAGGCACAGAGATGGCGCATCGTCAGCAACAACTCCGACCGCCATGAAGGCTACTTTACAGCACACTTTAAGTTAGTTAGAGGGTGATTGTTGAGCTTCTAACCTACCAGATTAATGGGTTCAGGGTGACTATTAGGATAGGTCAAGGACGAGCTTTCTACAAGCAGACACTGAGCAATTACACAGAGTTAAAACATAGACAACACAAACTCTAAGTTTCTACCTTGCATGTGCACATTTTCCCCTGAATTGTGTAGAGGGTTATATCTCACTTTCAGCCAAGTTGCAAAGGGGAAGGGGATAGGTACAGGTGCAGGTATGGGTGCAGTGCAGGCACATGACACGACAAATTTGTAAAAGGTAGGGTACAGGGACACTAATCATAGTTTTGAGCTATATATGTAAATAACCCTTTTAATTCGTAGTTTTTAAGGTTGAAACGTGCTCGACCCTTATCCTACAAGTTACAAAATAGAAATATAGGATATATATCCAAGAAGTGTATGACTGGTGTTTTAGATTAAACATGCATTGTATAATTCTATATAGGTTTGAATAAATATATGCATTTCTTTAAAGGAGTGTCTGAGAAGTGTCGAATAAGGGTATGACTCTATATTAGAAGTCCCCAGATAACATAGCTTTCAACACTCTATAAAAGTATCTGAATCTCCTATGGCAATAACTAAAAGAATACAGAAGAAATTGAAAACATTTAAAGGATATTAATCACATTATATTTTCTAATGCAATGAACAAGTAGTTTGTGCATCATTCAATGCAACCAAACAAATGCATTTGAAAGAAACATGGGTTTATTTTTCAGCAGAAGAGAATGATTTAATGAAATTGAAGATACTAACATCGAATTATTTGTAGAAATAACTGATTTTTCCTTTTACTGTTTTTAAAATATGAACTTATCTGATCTCATATTAAAAAAAGATAGATTTTAACAATAATATCAAATCATTTTGCGCTTTAGATTTTATATTATCAAATGTTGAATTATTGCACAACAACAAAATTAGCTAGTGACCTATAATAAACTCAGATGCAACTAAAAGTCTAAAAGGCGCTACCTTTCATTTGAAAACCACGGAAGAGGATATGAAAGAAAATAAAATCCACCACAAAAGAAAACATTTAAATTATTGATAGAGATATTACTAAACTACTCTCTACTTCAGAACATGGTGGAGGCATAAAATCCCGACTCTTAATATGAAAATTTTAGCTTGGCGGCTTCAGATCAAATGATGCAAAATCCTCAAGTTGATTATGGAGGGTTTGGTTGGTGCACACCACCAGTACACGCAAAGTTGCTATCCCTAAAAGCAATTTGGCTTTGGAGTCCTTGCACCGGAGTAAGTCGAATCTTGATTTAAGTTCAACGTCTTAGGATGCACAGTGACTCGAACTATTTCTCTACAGCAAAGTTTCTCAAAAAAGTCATCTCCCTAGTCTTGTTTATCACATTTTCTCTCTCCTTCTCTACCTACCCTAATGCAGGACGATCGTTAGCCGTTGATCAGGAATTTTATAGATTTAATGGTATCTTTATTATTTAGTAATATTTGATGTAATCTCTCACTTTTAGTTAAAGATCTTCTTAGAACATTGATGAATAAAAAATTTGAGTTTGAGAATTCCCTCTCGAACATGTAAGATGTTCCTTGGCACGTAATTTGTCACTTTGTGATGTGAAGCCCTTGGGTGTGAAGCCCGTAGGTGTGAGGCCTGTTATCTATCAAAATCCTGTTTCCTTTCCCTATCTAGTATCCCCTTCCCTTCTCCTAGTGAACTCCCAAACACCGCTAGATAACTTCCAATAGATGAACTCTTTTGGCGTACCCCAAGCACAGCCCACAGCTCAAGGGAGGTTTAATTGCTCAAACTGACAAATTTTAGTGACATGCGCATGAGGCCTATGGCTCTATGCAGAGTCACGGATTTCTCATTCTAATTTCCAGAATCATCCCATTTCCCCTCATATATGGAATTAATACAGTTCAGTGTGTAGCAAAAGCAAGAAATCAAGACTTCTGACCAAAAACCCATTTGACAATTTGCCTCACCGAATCATGGTAAACAAGAAAAATCATAAATAATCAATTAAAAAAAACCTGTTTCTGGGTATCATCAAAGAGAAGTGAAGTAGAGAAACAAGCCCTCAACCCCTTTCGGTTCTGCAGCAGCGAAGCTGAGCGTCTAAGAGCAAAGAATCTCTGCATTTTCTAAAAAAATCCGATTTTTTTTCTTTTGGGTTGGATTTTTTCGGTGAGAAACTGTTGGAGTTAGGGACCTGAGGTTGAAAGATAACAGAGGAGGTAGATGATTGAGTTGCGTGGCCAGAGAGTGCCGTCTCCATGTTCCCTTCTTTGTTTTGTGGTGTTTTGTTTTGTTCTGAGGTTTGGAATTGAAAAAGGTTGGGAATGAGATAAGGACGTCAGAATGAGCTGAGTCGGATTGGATTTGGATGGGACTGAAATTGGGAGAAAAAGTTGGGAGCTCTGCAGAGAAGATGAAGAGGAGACATCTCCATGAGACTAACTAATAATGTCCGCGAGGACATTCAGAATCAGTCTTGCTTTTGGCCCCCTTATGTCTTGAATATTTTGAAATTACTCCCTCAAACAATTGAAATCGCTGCACAGCCCCTAAAGCCCGACTAGTTATTCCAAATTAGGTCCACTGTAGTTAGTTAATGTTTGATTTGCAAACAATGGTCCATTTAATTAAAGCCAACAGCTTTGGTACTCTAATAAAAATCCACTTTACAGTATCACCGGCACGTTTCGTAAATAGTTCTTGTTTTGATAACGAGCACTACGGCATATGCATTTGGATATAAGCTGACAGGTTATTTTGTTAAATGAGTTATCAACAAACAGACTAGTGATGGAACACGTCATGTTACTTGCATCACTTTGATACCTCATTTTGCTATTATGGATTCATAGACTCTTGAGCCTATTATAGAACTACTAACCATATTACTTGCATTACTTTGATACCTCATTTTGCTATTATAGATTCATAGTCTCTTGCATTAACCATGTCATAGAACTATTGTTTAGAGACCTCTTTTGCAAACACTAGGTCAGAAGCGAATATGTTTTTCTTAATTCAAAGTTTGTCCTTTAAACCAAAATAGTTTTAACTGGTTGGGGATGTCTAAAAACTAAATTGGTTTAGGTTTAAAATAAAGCTGATTTAGAGGGGAGTTGCCAAAGCAACTCTCCCACAAAGCGTGTAAGTGCATGCGAACCTTTGGTGATCGGGGGTAGGGGGGAAATTTATACACTTCAAATGGAGTATGAATCCTATCAGAATGTCTCATATGATTCAGAGTCTTTTGATGTAAGGATGAGCATTGTGCGGGGCGTTTTGATCCAAGCATGAGCATTGTAAAGAGAATATTTTGGTAATTATTTTGGCTCATGTGTGGCATAGATTTTGGTAATTATTTTGGCTCATGTGTGGCATAGGATTTTCCAATTTAAGTGATTTGTTTTCTCCCTGACAAACATGACACTAATGCAATTCCATAAATATCAAGAACAAAGATAAAGACTTTTCAGGAAAACCTATTTGATCACCTCACACAATCATAATAAACAAAAAAATAAAATAAAATAAAATAAATTCATGCATAAAGAAAGAAATTAAAAAATAATCCACCTGTTTCTCAGTATCATCAAAGAGGAAGGAGGTGGAGAAACAAGCCCTCTGACTTCTTTGAGCTTGAAGGTGTGAAGCTGCGAGTCTGAAAGCGAAGAATCTCCGTATCTTTCGAAAGAAAGTTATTGATTTTTTTTTTTTGGTGATTGAAGAAATTATTGTTAAGAGGGCGAAACTAGTCTCTTTCAATTGATGAGTCTCATAATTAATGACTTGATTAATGTAGAAAGTAGCCAAGGATTCCTACCTGATATAGTCTCTTTCAATGAGGGACATCAAGACTTTTATGAACGTAAAAAGTATCGTGACTGTTGTCTTGATAGTTTGAAGAAAATATACTAAAGAAGTCACAACAGGAGAATATGTACGAAAACCAATCATTAAGAATCACATACCTGATATTTAATCCCACATCCAATATTAATTAAGTGATTGAATGGTTTATGTCCAATAAATCAAGTGCAATATTAACTAGTTAATTTTGACAGTGGATTGAGCCAAACCATGTGTTGCACTATGTAGGTCTTATGGCTTACATCGCGCCAATGAGCTCATGGACTCGAGACGTGACAAATGGTATCAAAACAGTAACCAGCTGAAAATATGGAGCTAAGTATTATGCGAGACTAAGTGTTATATCATGTGATTGTGGTGAGAACCACCTCTAGAACCCACATCGCCTGATGTTGATAACAGTAAATACATTGACATAACAACAGTGACAATTTGCCTAGTCGTACAAAGATTAGTTGATACATCTTTATCCTTTCACTAGTAGAAAAATGACCAATCTAGACGGAACAACCTAGACGGAAAAAATTTCCGTCTAGGTTGAATCAAACTAGACGGAAAATTTCTGTCTAGGTTGATCCGTCTAGATTGGGTCAAACTAGATGGAAAATTCCGTCTAGTTTGACAAACGAGACGGAAAAGGCAACCTAGACGGAATTCCGTCTAGGTTTCCTCAACCTAGACAGAATTCCGTCTAGGTTGCCTAGGGCAATTTTACCCAGTTGCCGCCCCCCCCTTCTCTCATTACTCTCCCCTGTTTGTTTTTCCCTCCCTCTCTCTCTCTACTATCCCCTCCGACCCCCCCCCCCCCCCCCCCTCCCGCCCCGCCCCCCCCCCCCCCCGCCACTCTCCCTCCCCCCTCCCGCTCCCGTACCTCGGCGCCGGCTCCCTCCTCCGAGCCCCGCCCCCCCTAGCGCCCCTTCCCTGCCCCCCCCTCCCTCCCCCTTTACCCCCTCCGACCTACCTACCAACCCCCTTACCCCCTTCCTGAGCCCCCTCCCTCGCCCTCCCACCGAGCCCCCTCCCCCCTCGGTAGCGCCCCTCTCCCCCCCCTCCCGACACCGCCCGAAGCCCCCCTTCCCTCCCCCTCCCTCCTCCCCCCTCGGCCAGCCCTCCCCCTTTCCCCCTCGACTAGCCCATCCCCCCCTTCCGACCCCCCTCGACCCCCTCCCCCCCCGACCCCCCCCCCCCCGAGCCCCCCTAACCCCCTGGCAGCCCCTCCCCCTCTTCCCTCCATGGCAGCCCCCCTTCCCCCTCCTTTGCAGCCCCTCCCCCCTTCCCTAATTTTCCGGCAGGCTAATCGTGATCACCGGCGTGTCCGTTGTTTCATCTGCTTAAAAGGTATGATTTTTCTACTGAACTTTAGAATTTTTAATTTTTTTATTATTTATTGTTGAATTTAGTTTAAAAACACTAATTTATGATAAAAAAATAAACGAGTTCAATTCTGAAACCCCTAACTCAACTACATATTAATTCATTTGAACAACACTAGTAATCATATATTTTTTAAACACTTATAAACCCTAACTCATTTAAGTTTCATTCGTGCTATAAGTAAGTGTGATTATTTAAGTTTGTGACGTGAAAATATGTGAAATAAATTTTTTAAAAAAATAGAGTGATATATAACACATTATAATTTTTTTATAATGTGTTATAATCCAATTTAGGTGAATAAAAAAATAACGTTATCCCTAGACTTCCGTCCAATAATTACATCCAATTCTTTGGACTTATAATATATGATATACGACTCAGATTTGGATAGGAGACGAAGTTTTCTCCTGAAAATAAGCGTTTATTTTATATTATAGGAATAAAAAATTGGTACTGAAATTCGTAATTATTAGATCTGTCATTCTCGGATGGGTTAGGAATATAGTTGTGCATACATCCAACTTTGTATACTTTGTATATTTTCATTCTTGAAAGTTTTGGCAGCATGTATTCGTTGTTCTCCGTGTACAATAAGCGTATGTTGTTCTGTGTTTTGGGTTATTACTGATACGTATAATAACATCCGCACAGTGTACAGGGAGAACAGCGGGTAGGTGCTGTCGAAATTTTTAAGAAATGAAAATATATAAAGTATATGAAGTTGGATGTAAGCACTACTATATTCTTAATGGATAGAAGCCTTCCTATGACAGCCGCTAGATTAGTGTAATTAGTTTCTACGTACATTTTATATATATTTTATGTAGATAAATATTCATATTGTTAAATGATTTATGAACGTATGTTTGATGTGTGTTGAATGTATAAGAGTCATGGATGTATTAGTAGTTGTGAGACTAATCATATTTAATAATTATATATAATTTACAGATGAGGATAATTCCTGACAAATCATGGATAGATATCCCTAGGCATCGTAGATTTCGTGACACACGATACAAGGAGGGATGTGAAGCCTTCATGCGTTATGCGGAAATGAATCCGAGAAATTTAAGAAGCGGTGCTATGTATTGTCCTTGTTGTAGGTGTAGGAATTTGAAGCTGCTGAATAGAAATGATATACGGATTCACCTAATAAAATCAGGTTTTGATGAAAAATATAAATATTGGAACTGACATGGGGAAGGTATCACTGAAGATGAGGATCCAAATATGCGTTTATGATACTTTCATTACTGATACCCGGTAAGCATGCACCGGGAAATGATATTGATGTCTACTTAGAGCCTCTAATACTGATACCCGGTAAGCATGCACCGGGAAATGATATTGATGTCTACTTAGAGCCTCTAATTGATGAGCTAAAATAATTATGGTCTGAGGGTATTTTAGCATATGATGCCCATTTAAAAGAGTCGTTTAGATTACGTGCTATTCTATTATGGACGATTAATGATTTTTCAACTTATGCTAATCTGTCCGGGTACTCTACGAAGGGCAAGTGTGCTTGTCCTGTATGTGGTCCGGAATTTGAAGCTCTTCAATTTCCACATAGCCAAAAGAGTTGTTATTGGTTTAATCGAAGGTGGTTGCCCTTGAGTCATAAGTACAGAAAATTATCAGCTAAGTTTGATGACACAGTTGAGAAAAGAATAAAGCCGCGTCAACTGACAGGTAATGAGATCGTTCAATTACTTGAGGGAAAAAATCGCTATTCTAAATTTAACCCGCTCGGAGTAAGAGATTACTTAAAGTTAAAAAAGCCATTGAAGCGTAAGCGAAAGGTCCGTAAAATGCAAGTTGAGGACGAAACCCAAAAATTACCTAGAGGATGGACTAAATTTAGTATCTTCTTTCAGCTACTTTACTGGCAAAATCTTAAAATCCGACACAACTTAGATGTTATGCATATTGAGAAAAGTATATGTGATAACATAGTATCAACTCTCCTACAAGATGCAAACAAGTCGAAGGATGACCTACGGGCGCGCCAAGATCTAACTGCTTTGAATATCCGAAATGATTTGCAAGCTCAAGACGTTGGCCTTAAAAAATTAAAGTTGCCTCCGTCTCGTGTTACAATGTCAAATGATCAGATGCAACGAGTTTGTAAAATTCTCAAATCG